CCTTTTTATCAACGGTTTTAATTAACTTGATTCCTCTGTTTGTCGTGGTCAAATCTTGTAATCAAAATTTCGTCCACTTCCCGTTGTCCAATCAATTCCACATTTTGCACACGTACTCAGATCCGGTGACAATGCGTGCCATGTAATAAAAATTCGGCATCAATGAATCAATTCGCTGTTTCAAAGCAATTTACATTTTGTATGGACGCCTTGTTATTTATATATTTGTGTCACTCAAAAACGCCGCGATCCCTAAACTGTGGAATCGGCTCAAACAAAACGCAGACGCCACGTGTCTCAGGCGCCACTGACGTACTTCTCGATCGTGAGTTAAACGAAGTTGTTAATGAAAACGTTGTTTTTTAAAACGAGTTTATTTCCTTTAAAGGCAGTGTTGTTGATGCACGTGTTGCGTTTATTCCATAGGCGTCTCTGTGTATTGCATGGAAAGTGACAAATAATAAGCGATGATGATCCACCTTCCTATAATCCCCTGTTGCTATTATCTACACCTTGCAATCAATCTGCAGATATTGCTGTTATGTCTGACAATTGTTCACGCTTAACCGTAGATGGTGATGGAGCGGTGGTACAGTGGTTGGCACACGGCGCAAATAACCCAGGGAACTGAGTTTGATTCACGCCGATGGCTAACGTGATTGGCGAGTGATATTTGAACCAGTCCTGGCCGTCTGCCCCTTGATGTTCACTAACCCGCACTGACAAACATGGTGAAGTATGGTCAAATAACCTTGCATGACTTCAGAACTCAGATCCCTGGCTGCTTAAGGAAACTGTGCTTGAAATGAGCACTAAAGCCTAGTATGTCTGCAGTACTTGCAGAGTTACATTACATACATTGAAAAAAAAACAGCACCATATAAGATTTGACTTGAGATTTAACGCTGTTAAGTTATTGAATCGATTAAAAAGTTTACAACTCAATATAAACGTACAGTACGTTGCTGTGAATCTCAGTTAACTTTATCTAACTTTAGCTCTGCCTATAGGCAATCTAATATGCATTGTAATGTGGGTTTGGTTTTGTGTACATTTTGTCCTAGAGATAAATACTGAGTCTAGCCCTACTATTAACAATTGTCCACAAATCAACAAAGCTTCAGAGCAAAAACAAAGCAAAGTGGCCACCCCAGTGGCAAAGCAGTAAGTGATACATTCCAAAACCTTTCATTCAATTGAAAATCGTACTTTTTATCACTCGTCATTCGTTTTACGGGTGCATATTTAATCCTAAACGAGAACACAAGAAGCATGTATCTTCGTGTGCATGTATCTTTGTGTGCACGTCCCTGCAGATTAGAGGAGATGAGACCCATAATTGAACGGTCGGCCAAGAAAATTGACAGAATAAATAAACAACTGCGCACGTGTCAGGTGAGTGAGTACTGTGTTTGTCATTGTGTTGCACTATGGCCAGTGTCGCTTCCGTTATATCACTGAGTTGAATTTTGGAGCCTCCGATGACATGCTTAATTACATTGTCGGCTGTTGAATTTCTGGTGCAAAAAAGTGTGAATGTCAACGTAGACATTGCATAGTTTAAGCCGCTTGATCGTATATGAACAGAAACAAAATGAAAAGGTACACACGGCCAAGCAAGGCAAGCCTGAACCTAGAATATACAATTCGTCAGGGAGGCTGTGTGGGCAGTCATTTTTAGGAAGGTCATTGCCCCTAGAACATACCGGTGGGTGCGAAAGTACACAGTCTGAATGGGCGTAACGTAATGCTGCTGCGCTCAATTGGGAAGGTGTCATTCCCGTGCACTGCTAACGCTTCTTCTTAAGTTCTCCCACAAAGGCAGTGGTTCTCAACCTGTGGGTTGTGTTTCGCTGGCGGGGGGCACAACAAAAGCCTTTAAGGAGGACTCGTACTGCTGCATGTATACCGTGCAGGGGAAATTCTGGATGTGATCTGTAAACATCAGTGCCACGACAGCAAAGACAAAGAACCCCCGTATAGCCTTAACATACTGTTGAAGCAAGTGCTGTTAGTGAGCACCTATGAAGGCTGGAACGGTACTCAAGGGGGTGGGTGGCCAGCACCACGCCCGACCGCCTTTGTCTCCCCAGTCACGATATTTACACACCGCACCAGGTACTCATTTTAGGCTGAGTCTACCTAGGGGAAGCCCAGGACCAGTTCAGAAAATCGCAACTGGTTTTGGCTGTGAGCAGGAACCCGGGTCACTGGGCTCGTAGCGCAGTGCGCTAACGACTCCGCTACCTCTCCCCACACCAACGAAACACACTAATACACACTAACACATACAAATGAAACATGCCCTACTGACGCCACGTTGACTAGAGGCTTGGACATGCGATTTCTCAGTGTAATGTGGCCTTTGTAACTTGGCTGGACAGGGGGAGGTGGGGGACTGCCAGCCAAAAGGTTGATAACCACAGCAGCGACAAAGCCACTCTCAACCGAATAACTGAAAAACTAATAACATAAAACATTTGGCTGTCACTCCTACAGGGGCTGATGTGTCATGACCTCATGGCTGGGCTTTCTGCACAAGATCAGGGGCTCACATTCGCCAAAGAGCTGAAGAGGCACAAACAGCTGAGTGAGTTAAACCTCTGTGTATAGCCACGGAAATTTTGGAGCACAAATTTAATGAAAGCTCTGACTTGAGTCGAATAAGTGTCTCCCCCTTTATTTTGTTGTTCCGTTGTCGTCAGTCTGTCAGTTCCCACCGCTGGGAAAATACTGCAATTCTCTTCCATTTACTCCAGTAGTGGCTTCCTTTTCATCTCGCTATCTTTTCCGCAGTCTTCCTCCACTTCAGTTTAACACGTAGGAGGCTTTCGTGACCAATATCATCCATAATAGAGGTTTTTGGGTTACATCGCGTAAATATACAAAGTGTCGTTAAAACCCGCCACCACCCGACACAGCCAACTAGTAAGGGTTGTCACGTAAACAGAACGTGGCCAATTCGTCACTAGTACAGCACACCGGTGTGTTGGAGAGCCAAGCCACAACATTTACAATCTGAGTACACCGTTTCACCAGTAATTACAACCAGCTTCATCAGCCGACAGCCAGATTTGTAGAGAAGTCTTGGTGTTTCGTTCCTTATATAGAGGCGTAGATGTGTTGACCACGCAGCTGCACTCTTGCACAATGTTAGGGGGAGGGGGGATTACTGAGGCAACGTACATTATGCATTTGCATTATCCAGGCCCTTTGAACTTGTCCTTCCTGTCTATTGTGTTTATTAAACTAGCCCTACGGTACGCTGCCCTTTGTAGGGATGCATTTAAATAATGTATTATTTGATGATTCGC